CTCTGGCAGGTGCAGTCAACCGAAGGTAGTCCTTCTCCAGAACACTGCAAGTGCCCTTCACATACCTCTCAGGTGTTGCAACCTCGCTGGCCTCATCGGCGGTAGGCGAGTCTGATCGACCCAGTACACTTCTGATAGAAGTCTCATGTCTCAGCTCACTTTGATCTTTCGTTTTGCTGTCAACCTGCCGAAAACGGGCAGCACGAGCAGCTCGGCGTTTGAGCTCGTCCGCGTCCACTTTAGGGGGCTGGCGGACACCTCCCGAGGAGTATACCGTTGTTCTCTGTCCAAACTTAGGTCGCGGCATTCACAGGAGATCGCGCTGCAGTGTTGAATTATATGTTGGCTTCCCCCAACTGAGCCCCGCCTTTTTTCTCACTACACTATGGAGATTTGCACGCAACTTCGGGAAGATGTGTACAGAGAAAACAGCAATTTTCCGAAATTTTCTCAGAATTTTCATATTGTCACCAATACATATGCTTGACCACACCGTTTTACCGCTCAGCTCTAGGCACCGACTATCAACACAAAACTCCACACTTAAAAGGAAGCATATAAATGATACACAGTCAGTGAGCAGACGATTGTCTCGAGAACTGTCCTGGAACCGGGGGCAACGATCCTGCATGAATCGACTCCACCGCGGCAACCAAATGTTTAGCAAAGGAAGACTTCCTTAATGCTGGCAGCTGCTCCTTCAACTTCCACACAAGCCGACTTCGCTCAATCATCTCACTCGGTGCCAATTCGAGTAGCCTCGAGACGATGGCGCATCCGTAACGATCCCGCAGCATAACAGACAGAGCCACGGCCTCTCCCGCACTGCCACCCCACGCCGCTATAGAGGCGGCCTCAGCACCCGAGTCACCCAAGACTACCGAAATTACGTGGGCCAACTCCACCATGGTCAAGTGCTGCAGACACTTGTCAACAACATTAGTCGAAAACTTATGACACGACGCAGCGGTGATGTCCTCCATAACGTAACTGTATATCGCCTTCCGGTCTGCTTGTGTGCCATAAACTATGACATGCTGAATAACGTAATTGCCGAAAGAGTTGGTGCTCAGCTCAGCACATGACCTCACAATAGACGTCCGCATCTTGGTTATCATATCGGGCGGGCATGTCTCCAGTAACCTCTGAAGTACTCTACAGCCGCATGCATGAGCAGCTAGCCAGCTCGCTGATGGTGTTAATGCATCTACTATAAATTGAAGTTTTTCCAC